CGAGGGAATCTGGGCCTGACCCACACGTGCCCGGGTCTAGCGTCCCGTCTGACCTTGTCCCTCCGCTCGGTCGCCGCAGCCGTCCGCGCCCCGGCCGGGTCACCTGATGACGCTCCGCGTCCGGGAGGTGCTAAGGGGCTGGGTGTTTGCAGGGACCAGATGGTTCCGAAGCCCCTGGGGGAGTGAAGTCCTCTGTGGAAATGTAAATGAGGAACTTCTCACTTATGCAGTAATTCCTCCCGGTTCCACTTGTTTTTCCTCGCGTGTGGGATGCAGACCGTCAGTGCCGCCCTGGAGGAGACCCTGCGTGACCTTGGGGTGCGCCTGGGTGACCTTGGGGTGCGCCTGGGTGACCTAGGGGTGCACCTGGGTGACCTTGGGGCGCGCCTGGTCCCGAGTCCCGGCGGCCGCGTGGGTCTCACCGCGCAGTAGGAAGGCAGGCCCGTGTCCGGTTGCGCAGGACCAGGCTATTTAAGAGGCTTTATTGCAATAGAGTTTGTGGTCTTCCGTCCCCGGGTGAGCAGAGAGAGGGAGGGAGTTTGTGCCCCAAATACCAGCTGTCCGGCCGAGAGACCCCGCAGCCGCGGCCTCTGACGCACCCAGGTCTGCGGCTGCGGGTGAAACACAACCCAAATCTCAGATGTATCAGTTCCCCCAAAGTTCATTCCTTTTGGGGTGAGGTTCTGACTCGGTAATGATGGAACAGGAGACCTCAAGGAGAAGGAAAGCTGACCGCGGCTGTGCCCACACTCACAGCGGTAAGAAGTGTAGGACGTGGTGGGGAATTGAGAAGCTCCGTTCATCATAGGCCAGTGGTCGGCAAACGGTGGCTCGAGAACCACATGCGGCTCTTTGGCCCCTTGAGTATGGCTCTTCCACAAAATACCACGTGCGGGCGAGCACGTACAGTGCGATTGAAACTTCGTGGCCCGTGCACAGAAGACGGTTTTCGGAAAGGAGACGAAACAAGTATACAAGACGAGTGTGGATGGGAGAGTTGGAAGGGGTCCACCTCAGCGAACGTACCTCCATCAGATTGAGGACGTTTTTAGCAAAGCCAGCTTAGGAATACCCTGATTAAGTTAATAACAATGTACCTACCTGTATAGTTTAAGTTAAAAAAATTTGGCTCTCAAAAGAAATTTCAGTCGTTGTGCTGTTGATATTTGGCTCTGTTGACTAATGAGTTTGCCGACCACTGCCAGACTTTTGCCGTTCATCAGCTCGGTACATTCTTTCCATTGAGTTTTGGAGGGATGGGGGTGTGGGGAGAGAAACGTCAGTGTGTCTCCATAGGTTGCCTCCCACACAAACCGACCCAGGCTGGGGATCGAACCTGCAACCTCGGTGTGTGCCCTGGGCCGGGAATAGACCCTGACCCTGTGGTTCGAGGTCCGAGACTCACCACTGAGACCCCAGCCAGGGCCTGGTTTTCCTGCCTGGCTGTGCTGCGGTGTCTTTACCCAGCTCATGATGCTAACCTGGCATGAACCTACCCTAGTCTTCTCTGCTTCCATGAGAGCACCAGTATTGAAAGCGTCATCACTGTAGATGGCAGTGAACCCTTATGTTCAAGCAAGGCGGTGTTTCTAATTCTGTGACTTGTTTTCATTTCTTGAGCTCAACCCAGACAGCGGGAGGGGCTGGAATGGAGGGCTCCTACCTTCACCTGCCCCTGGGCTGGGGCAGAGTCAGGCTTCCACTCTCTCTGTTCCTCTCTAAACACTGTCACCATATATCCTTTGTTCCCAAAGCTTCAGAGCAGTTTTGACTTTAAGCAACATTGTAATCCAAGTCTTGGTCACTATCCCCATTCCAGCTTGCATAAGTGCATGAAGATATATAGAGCGGTTATCTATCTATCTATCAATCAATCATCGACCATCACAGTGACATCACACCTTTGTAATAGCAAAAAATAAACAAAAACCTGCCCACCTGTCAACCGATGGGAAACTGGTCAGATAAACGTTGGCACATCAGCCCGGCCAGCCAGCGTGGCTCAGTGGTTGAGTGACGACCTATGAACCCGGAGGTCATGGTTCGATTCCCTGTCAGGGCACATGCCCGGGTGGCAGGCTCGATTGGGGATTGTGCAGGAGGCAGCCAATCGATGATTCTGTCTCATCATCGATGATTCTATTTCTCTCCCCTTCCTCTCTTAAATCAATTTAAAAAATTAAACATAATAAAAACAAATCTTTAAAAAAATAAGCAATGGCACATCAGTGCAATGGGATGTCTTATAGTTGAGAGTGCTTTCTTTTCAACCCTCAGAAGTCCATCTCGTGACCCCCCTCCCCCGCCATCAGCCTCAAGTCCCACACACGGGTTGAGAAGCGCTGATGTAAGTCAAGCTGTGAACCTCACTGAGTGCCTGACCCTGAAATGTAGGCACGTCTGGATTCAACTAGGAAACACCAGCCAATGCAGGAAGCTTCTCTTCAACACAGACTGGCTGTGCAGGCGCATGAGGCCCAGTGGGCAGAGGGGTGGCCGTTTGCTCCCTCGCGGAGCTGTGGTGTGCGGGGTTCTTGGCAGCACAGAGAGCAGCGACTCTGTCTTCCCGAATCCAAGGTTTTCCTGTCTGTTCTCTGGCTGCTCTGCCTGGCTGTGCAGACTATCCCCAAACCTGCACGTGTAACACTTCTGTACAAGTTCGTGCCTTAGGAAAGCATCTTACGGGTTCTGAGTTGTCCATCTCCCATGTGGAGAGGAGCTATCCGCGTCATTGGCTATTGCGTTCGTTTAGATCCGTTCACTTTTTCCTCTCGACCCAAAGTGATAGGAATATAGCCCGGGCCCTCTGACTCGAGTCTGCTGTCCCATCTGCACGGGGCCTTAGTGAACCCGGGGAGGCCCTGTGGGCCTGGGGGAAGGTGGAGGACACCTGTGGGCTGTCCACTGGCTTCAATCTTAGAGTCACTTCGTCCCCCTAGGGTCTGGGTTTGCCGAAAGGCCTGTGGAGCTGGGTCCCTGGGTGACGTCAGTCTAGGGTGTTTCTCTCTGTTTTTCCCTCTCTCTTCCACTCTCCCTAAAAAAAAAAAAAAAAAATCAATGGAAAAATATCCAAATATCCTTGGGTGAGGATTAACAAAAAAAGAAATAAAAAATAATAGATAAAAATTAATAAAAACACAGTTTACTAAAAGAAGCAGGAGGTGGGGGAGGAAGAGGAGGTGGAGGAGAAGGAGGAGAGGAGGAGGGGGAGGGGGAGGAGGAGGAGGAGGAGGAAGAGGGGGGGGAGAGGAGGGGAATGAGGAGGGGAAGAGGAGAAGGAGGAGGGGGAGGAAGAGGAGAAGGAGGAGGGGGAAGAGGAGGAGGAGAAGGAAACGGAAGGCCGGGCCTTATTGCAATGGCCGCGACTGCATGTGGAAACCCGGGGAGGCCTGGTCCCACGAGGCCCTCAGAGAGCAGTCCTTCCTGAGAGAAACGGAGAAGACCGTGTCTGTTGACTCTGTCTCTCGCCTCTGGTTGGCCCACATTCGCCCGAGGTCCTCGCTCCTCTGCTGACCTGAGTCTGATGCTCCACACGTCCACGTTGGGGCAGGAAGAACCCAGAGCTGCTCTGTGGGTCCAGCTGGGTCACCTCGTCCACTTCTGTGACTGTCGCTCGAAGGTGTAGGAGAGTGATGACTGGCCGGGAGACCGTGCCTTTGCTGTGGAGGGTGTATTCTGGGTGACTGTGTCAGTGACAGCCCACTGCCATGGCCAGAGCCACTGGAGGACCGGCCACGGCAGAGGGCGGGGGTGGGGGGGACAGGCCCCAGAGTCTCCCACGGCCCTGGGGACAGGGGGACACTGAAGGAAGGGCCTCGG